GTGTGGAAACCAAGTGGTACTCAATCGTATCCTGCTCAGATATACCCCTGGGTCTCATCTGTCTAAAGTGGTCAGATTTTTGTTGAAGCTTGGCCATGGTTTCTGCAATGGCATTTGTAGAAGGCAAGTGAGAGAACAATCATATTTGATTATTTGTTTTTGTTAATTTGTTTACCCACACCTCTACTTTATTTAAAAAGAGCTTGAGGCCCATAGGTTGAAAACTTAGAAAAGAACACTAGGTGTTGGGGGGACGCTGGTGAGAGCAAACGCTAGTATAGCCATTCTGGAGGACGATTTGGCAGGACTCAGTGACCTGAAACTGACGTATGCTGGCAGCCAGCAGTGATGAGTGTCTACGCATCCCTGGAAGCTCTGGCACAGGCTCCCGATGGGCAGGTGCGGCCCTGTCCACTGAGGACTGCTGTGGCAACAGAGAGTGGGAGGCACCCAAAGTGTACAGGCTGGATAAGTAGAATGGCAGGGGTGCAAACAAGGGGCTATTTTGCAGTAGTGACACTTAATGAACTAGACATATGTAAAGCCACATAGAAAGGTCCTAAAAACACAGGGGAAAAGCCATCAACAGAATGAGACCTAGAGGGCAATCTACTTCTGTAAATTCAATACACATGTACACAGTATCATATCTCTTTTAAGGCTCCATCCACATCCACAGAGATACATTAAACATACCAAGGGAGTGGCATGTGAGGGAGGAATGTTGGGGGCTAAATGATGAGAAAAAGCAATGCCAGAGGGGCCCAGCACAGGCCAGTGGGCCAAGCAGACGGGGACAGAAAGAACAACATCCTGCTTCTGACTTCCAAAATTCTAAAAATTATAAAAGATCTCCAGCTGCTTATGAAAATCCCCGGAGGAGGGAGAACATGTACAGTTTTCAAATACAGCAACCATCCTGGGCCAGCTGTGGGCCTGTGGGGTCACAGGCATTGGGTCCCCAGTGCAGCCTCCCCTAAGCCCAGGGCCAGTAGTGCTGAATGAGTACCTCATGGTTTTCATGGCCAAGAAGATCCGAAAGGACTTTGAGCACGAGGCCTGCCACCTTGGCACACATGTTCTTCCCTATGGGAAACAAACCAAAGCTAAACATGACATGTCTAAACCCAGAAGCAGAATTTTGGGTCACGTGGACTTGGGGACAAATCTTGGCTCCTCTGCTCATGAGCTGTATGACCTCGGGTGAGTCACATAACCAGTCTGGGCCTCAGTTTCCTCCTCTTTACAACAGAGATTACTATTCATACCTACCTCAAAGAGTGATGCAAAATTAAATAAACTAATGTATGTAAAGGACTCAGTGTAGCATACAACCTCAGTGCTCAGTAAACCACCCCAAATGGTGGCTATTACTCCGGTCAGAGCACAGAGCGAGTCATTACAGTGAAAGCACAATACATTATAGAGCAATGTTCTCCCTCCCACGCACGGATACCAGCATCACGAAGACCATACAGGCATTTTAGTAGCTATAAACGTCATCATAAAAATCACCGCAAATAAGGTGGTGATGATGAAGAAAAGCTAATTCTAATCTGATCAACGTATTAGAAGTTAGGACTTCTGGCTGGGTGTGGTGGTTCATGCCTGTAATCCCAGCATTTTGGGAGGGCGAGGCGGGTGGATCACTTGAAGTCAGGAGTTCAAGATCAGCCTGGCCAACATGGTGAAACCCCCTCTCTACTAAAAATACAAAAATTAGCCGGCGTGGTAGTGGGCACCTGTAATCCCAGCTACTCAGGAGGCTGAGGCAGGAGAATCGCTTGAACCTGGGAGGCGGAGGTTGCAGTGAGCCAAGATC